GGCCTCGCATTCAAAGGCAGGAGACTCTTAAATCGACACCAAGTGAAATGAAGTTGCGCTCCGCCCGTCTCGTGTAACAATACAGTAGGAGTAATACAAATTCTGCGTATAAAATTGTTGCGTAAGGTTGACAATTTGATCCAACAAATGTCGGACATTCTGCCTACTACTCCACTGTTGCAGCAAATCAGGTAGCGAAAGCGGTATAGCGCAGTATACACCGGGAGTATTCTTGTGGTACGGGCTTGTTCTACACAGAATATCAAGGTAAGATTACCAGCTGCTGAGAACCTTGAGAGGTTTCCTTCGGGTAAGGGGGAAAGTCCAATACGTACCGTCAGAATGCAAAATGTCAAGTGACTAGGCCGAATTTTATTGCTTCCACCAGTGATTAGTTCTGTACTCCATATGTGTGGGCTACACAATCTGGACACGGCCTTAGGGTAGGAACGGTGATAGAGAACCTATTATTATTACACCCATTTTTGTTGACCCCTCGTCCCCTCTTCGAAAATCCCTCATACTCACACCTACCTTACTCATACTCAACTCCGCCTATCACAGTTATCTCACCTGTGAGTTGCAGGTGACTCCCTTCACTGGTGTTACTCTACCCCCTCGGGTCATCCTGCACTTTAGAGAGCCAGGGCAGCCAGCTTGAAACTACCCAGAAAGGTCAGATCACGCCCCTCTTTCTGAACCTGCCAGCACATCGCGTCCAATTCAATCCATCCATCGATTCCAGATTCCCCCTCATTCATGTTCTTTCGCGCGCGCGTCCTCCCCGTCCCACCTCTGTCCCCTCTCTTCTCTTAACCTTTTTTTAACATTTTATTATTAAGCCAGATCAGACGAAAATCAAACCATTAAAAAACAACACCCAATTAAATAAACAAATTCTTTAGAACAGATCACCAAGCAATCCAGGCTAGCCAAGCCATGTCTGAACGAGGCTCTGCCCGGGGTGGTCGTAGCCGCGGCGGAGGTCACGACAGGTCTGGCGGTCGTGGCGGTGCTCACTCCTCCCAGCACAGGGGTGGCGGTGCAGGTGGCGGTGCGCAACAGCAGCAGGAGAAGCCCAAGAAGGAGAACATTCTTGATTTGTCCAAGTATATGGACAAGGAGGTGAAGGTGAAGTTTAACGGAGGACGAGAGGGTGAGTTTATCACCAACTGATTGCTCTTCTTGCCTACTAAGATCATTCTAGTTACCGGTATGCTCAAGGGTTATGACCAGCTCATGAACTTGGTGTTGGATGATGTCAAGGAAAGCATGCGTGGTAAGTGACTGAACAGCATCTCAAAGCTTGATGAAGTGTCTAACGTCCGCTATCTAGATGACGAGGGAAATGAAACTACTCGCTCCCTTGGTCTCATCGTCGCCCGCGGCACTCTGATTGTGTTGATTTCTCCGGCCGACGGCAGCGAGGAGATCGCCAATCCCTTCGTCCAGCAAGAAGAATAGATTAGGTGAATGTATCAGTTCTCTAAGAAAGTGAGAGATCCTCATCTTGTGTCGTCTCGTCAGGCTCTCCGTGAAGAAAGTGCGGACTTCTTGTGATACACGACGCCCGCGCTATCGGCTCCGATTCTACTTTCCTTTGTCTCTCGTCCTCCAGAGCTCGTCCTGGAAGGTCATTTGACTTTGACAAGTCAGTGAAAGCAATCAAAGAGCCAGCCGTCGCCCTTTCACATATGCATCGAAGGCTCCTGCAGCATCAACATGTGCTTGGGTTGGGTGGATGGATTTCCCAAGTCATGCAAATATGGGATTCATAGATGACTGCATATTCTGCGTCTACCTTTGATCCAGCATACAATGTCATGTAATCGATATACAATAGTTTGAACTCATGAATAAACGCGCCAACATATCTATCGTACTTGGCAGACACATGGACCAATCGTAGTATCTTGGCCGACCACATCTGTGTTCGAGAAGCTCAATTGATAGGTCCTAGGTGGATCTCTGCCTACCGAAAGTGCCAAAAGGCTTTATTAAAATTCACTGTGGAGACTGTCTGCTGACTTTACCAATTTGCATTCTCCCTGGACGAGGAGGCTGCCTAGTATCCGATGCAAATCTTTTTGGCTTTCAGCGCTGCAAGCATTCGCGAAAGTACATGTATGTCACTAGAAGAAACATACAGATATTCTTCTGGAAGTATTTTTCAATTGATGCTTATTGCTGGGAGTGGTCTAGTTAGTGGGAGGCATCGGAAATCCCCATCAATCAGTACTAAATGCCTTGGGCATCGAATCGCATACCAGGCCGTCAAGGATACTCTGTATCCACTTAGCATGATTTCAGACTGTCAACCACGAGTCTACAACATCTCACTGAAACAAGACTTGATTCACCATTCCTTATTATTCATCTTAAGCTATATTGCTATTCTGCAACAAGCACAGAGCCTATTGGCGCAGAGAACCATCACCCCCCTGGCCCCTATAGCCGTTGTCGCTGTCGTCATGGAATCTCCACAACCCGAAGCTAATCTAGGTCCACTGGGCCAGGCTCAAGTACGAATACGATTGCCTCGAGGTTAGAAGTGATTGGGTAAGACTGTCATTGACATGGGGATTGATGGATATTCATGGTATCATCCTTGTTCGATGAAAGTCTGGCTGATCTTTTCGATCGCCCCTTGATTGTTTGATTGGGTCGATTGATCTATGCACTGTAAGCGCTTCCGAAGCTTCCACCATCGGGCTTCGTCATCATACTCGAAGTCATGATGTGATTGAGGTGCCTTAAATATGATCTGTGGCACTCGTAAGTACAGTTGCAAGTTTTATATCATATTTTATCTTCTTGTGTGTATATGTCTGTAAAGAAAAGCTATCGACTGACGATATGAAGCTCTACCGTCTCTGGCCAGTGCTTCCGCTCTGTGCCGCCATCGTTATCCCTAATGAGCAGGTCCTAAGTGACATTGCTAAGCTTGATACGAACAAAAACGGCGTGAACAAGGAGTCGACATCCTTCCTCTCCTCCATCGAATCCTCCATCCAGGACGCCGCGACCGACTTCAGAAATGCCCTAGACGAGGCTCTTGAGCTCGCCTCCGATGCGTTCAACACCCAACGGCTGCAGTCCGGCGCCTCTGAAACTGCTTCCTGGATTACGAATTTCTTCGACCATCCCACCGACGCGGAGAAGCTTCCCAAAGATCTCAAGCAATTGCCGCAGTACCTGCACCCGCGCCCACCTTTCCCACCTCACCACCCCTCCTTCAACAAAACCATCTACGAATTGATCAAATCCAGCAAGTATACCACCATCCTCGCCAAGATCATCGACGAGGATGACAAGCTGGTCCAGTTCTTGAACAGCACTGAGGCGAACCATACCTTCTTTGCTCCTACCGACGAGGCCTTCTCAAAGATCCCGCATCACTGTCCTGGCCGTGATCACGACCACGACCACGACCATAAGCACCCCAAGATCCCCAAGGACGTTATCCGGACCATATTCCACTACCACATTGCACCAGGCCGCTACTCGGCCTCAGATATCTTCCACAGCCACACCGTGCCAACCACCCTGAACGAGTCCACTCTGGGCCCTGATCTGCCCCAGCGCCTGGCCGTCCGTGTAGGATGGAAGGGCTTGACGCTGAACTACTACAGCCACATCGTAGCCGCAGACATTGTAAGTTCACTTCCCGGGGATATGAACAGAGGACGCAACTGACCTCCATACACAGGGCGCCACAAACGGCATCATCCACGGCGTTAACGCCATCCTTATCCCACCGCCTGATACTCTCACCCTTCTGACCATTGTCCCCTCCGAATTCAGCACCTTCACCCTAGGCCTCTACAAGACCGGCCTGGCAACTGCCCTCAACGAATCCAGCACGCCCCACCACCACGGCGGCACCGTCTTCGCCCCCTCCAACTCAGCCTTCAAGCATCTCGGCTTCAAGATCAATGCATTCCTGTTCTCCCCTCCCGGCGAGAAGTACCTGCGCGCCCTGCTGCAGTACCACATCGTCCCGAACAGGACTCTATATTCGGACGTCTTCTACACGGCCGAAGGGGAGATCAAGCCGTTTGGTGTAAAGGGCTTCACACATCTTGATCTGCCCACCCTCCTGCACAGCCGGAAGCTGGCGGTCGATGTCGCCCGGTTTGGACCCTATGCATCGCTGAAGATCAATGGCTTCCAGCGGGTGGCTTTTGCAGATGCGTTAGCCAAGGACGGCAATGTGCATGTTATCAACCATGTTTTGATACCGCCTCGGAAGGTCGATGATTCCGCGCCTGATTGGACTGGCAATGATGATGAGTTGACCGTTGAGGATCTTAAAAGTCGTCTCCGAGACTGGTTGGCAGAAGATGAGGGTGAGGACGAGGGCGAGGTGGAAGTGATGCATGACATGCTGGCTCATGGTACTGAACTGTAAATCACAGGATTGCCTGATGGTCGATTCTGGTCAGCAATAGTTGCCGTTGATCTGATGATCGTACCTCCCTTTAGCGTCATCAGGCTTCAGTTCCCTCTCGTTTCTTTATCTATTTTCCTTGATATTAAAGCCCAGACTGCTATACGAAGGCACGGAGAGGCGGATGTATCATGCAGGACATTCTCTATAGCCAGTAATTTCAAATATATTTCTAAACTGTTTCACTTGAATTCTCGTTCGTATATCAATCACACCAATAGCTTCCAAGTACGTCATGGTCATTTGCTGCCAATAGGTTGCGGGGCAATTGCTCAACAGCCACCTCAGCGAGCGACGGTTGTAAATCCGAAACCGTCGCATCCTGCCAATACATACTGGCGGAGAGTAAGTCTCAGAATGGTAAGGTGACATCACACTCTTCATCCAATCCCTCATACGGACAGCCGCATTCTGATGAGAAGTAAGGGATGCAAGAGACAGCGTCGCGCGGAGGACGAAAACCTACCGCCTGAAATGAGAACATTTTCGTGGACGTCAAACACAGAAATGAACAGTCTCCCGCAAGGCAGCCATGGTAAAGCAGCGTTGCTCAATGCATTCTTCTTGCGGGCTTCATCAACGCCTGGAAGGAAGATTCGAGTGCCTTTTTCAGCTCCTTGTAGCTGACAATGAAGCAGCTCTGCTCGTCCCGGCTGATCAATGTTATCTTTTCTTCTGTTCCCGCATCCAGCTTGTTCAAACATGCGATAACGTGGCCCAGATCGACGACGGGGTCGCCCTGCGCGTCCACCTGATGGAAGACATAATCACGGAAAATTTTCAAGAAATAGCGCTCTCCATTCTCGGACCATTGCCTGTCATGCTCATATTCCGGCCGTTCGTTCACGAGATTCAGCTTCGTCATGAGTCGCACAAGCCGGCCATTTTCCAGTTCACGGCTCAGGTCCGATGTAAGTTGATCATCCAAGTGAAGTGCCGAGTCAAAAGTGGACATGAGCTGCGAAGATATACCAGTGATGAAAACGTCAATATTTCGATCCTGATCTTTCTGCATGCCGTTCAGCAACCAAAATACAGAGTTCTTCATCTGCGGACTGTAAGCACGTGTAAAGTGCTCCATAGCTTTCGTAGGGTTGTGCATGACCGTCGGCGAGTTGGCACCCAAGGTGACGATGAGTTGACCGAAATTGACCAGATCCTGACGCTGAAGATCGGCAACTGTACGCTGGCTGTCGAACTGGACCACATCCATGATCGCACAGGCGTTGAGTCGAATGCGATTCTTGCCGGTCAATAAGATCTTGCTTGCGTCAATGACTCTGGCTGCAAGACCATTGCTATGGATAGCCTTCAATGCGTTGGCAATCTGGGTCATATAGCCCCACAGAATCTGTTCAGGAATGTGCACATTGTGACGACCTTGAAATCTTTGTTGGCCGGCGCCAAGGTGCTGTTCGGCGAGAGTCTTTGAAAGAGGATGGTAGTCGGTAACGAAGATCAGCGAGCTGTCCTGAAAACTTCTACTGGTGAACGCATCGTGGACTGTCACCACACTACCGTTGCACACCCGCTTCCAAGCCTGGACGGATCGAATCGCTTTCTCGTTCGTCAACCGAAACCCTGGCGAGACACTTAGCTTTGACTTTCCGGTATAGAAATGAGGGATGATGACGGAATACATACCTTCTAGTCTCCGGAGCGCGTAAAAGTTTCCATCTTTGCTGGATTGCGCTTTGTACACCCAACTCGGAAAGCCAAAAATAGTTGCATTTTTCTGGTGGTTCAGGTCCAGCGGGACAAGAGAATGAAAGTAATCAATTTGAGCTGGTAATTGAGTGTCTGCTCTCGTTTAGCATCGGTGAATTACTTGAGGACTCAAGCCAACATACTAGGCAGTGTTTGCAGCGTGGCTGCCGCTTTCTTCTGCAGCTCCTCGCGGAAGTCATTAGGGAGGAACAAATCGTGGACATTGCGCTGATACCCCAGAGTGTTCTGGCTATGAGGGCCGATAGGAGCGTACAGATGGTATTGGACCTGTCGACAAGAAGTTAATCGAAAAGGCGCCATTGTTCGATACAGCAGAGAAACTCACAGGTTGTTGAAAGCCAGATGCGCCAGGGAAGAAAGCAGCACCACCGAGTGCCGCTGCAGTGTCATGAGAATATGGATTTGGCTGAACAGGGCCAACAGCTCCACCTGCGGATAGCGGAGTCGAAGTCGTTACGAAAGGATCAAACGGGCTCGTAGATGTGATAGGGCCGTTGCCATTTCCTTGAAGAGCAGCCTGAAACGGACGATTAGCGATTGGAAAACGTACACCAGATCTGCGCTTTCGCCTTCTAGCACCAGGCCAAGAGGATTCCACAGATGGTATGGGTCTGCCTTCAGTGGGGGTGTAATGCCCAGCGCGATGCCCAAAGGGGGAGGGAAAAGCAGGAGGAATATGAAGGGGATTAGGGTCAAAATCATCAGCAAGAGCATTCAAGCTGATGCCGGCGGACGGATGCCCCATCCTAAGTAAATTGTGGTAGGTGATATGTCAATTTTCTTAAGGTGCAACTATTGGGGATGATTGACAAAGGCTTTTTGCTCTTTGAATACGACCCTATATGCGAGAACTGAGGTGAAAAGGAAACCGGACAGGCGAGGCAAAGAGAGATGGATGGGTGGGACAGACAAGTAGTGAATATGATTCTGGTCCCGCGACATAAACCAAGGAAGGCGCGACTTACCAGGTGCGAATTGTCAAAACCCTGGGGAACAAACTCCTGTACTTCGGCTACAGTCCAGTCAGGAGTCATTGTGTCTTGTCGCAAGCCAGGAGTACTGGCATTGGATCCTTCTCCCATTAGCAAAACACCTAGAGGCTAGAAGACTGATTGAGCCTTACGCGAAACGACACTTCTAGGTTGAAACGGAGCTGCATTTGCAGCTTTTGGAGATATTGTAGTCATTTTCTTCGTCGTGGCTGGTGTGTTCGTCGGAGATGATCCATTCGACGACAAGAGGGAGGGTGTGAAGCTGGGGGAGTCGACATTGAAGCGCTTTTTACTGCTGTTACCAACACGTCCATGTAAGCTATCGCTCAGTCTACAAATGTCGATTTGATCCTCTCATCAGAGGAGGAGGGGCCAGCGAGGGTTCGATGTAAGGGATCCCAACCTGTCCGACTGATATGACGAATTGACCTTATAGGGGTCATGGTTGAAAGCGCAACCTTCACGAAGATACGCCCAGGTTAGATGAAGCTCATGGTTTCTATGAACGCGCAAATGGACGAGGGGCAAGCGCAGCACCTTTATCTTCATACCGACAACGACCGTATATGGTTATATTGCGACAAAGAGTGTCTTTTGCATTTTCTAGAATCAGAGGAGATATGATGTCAGCAATTTCGCGTCGCATAACAACTGGCCATTGTCACTTCGAAGAGGCTTCCAATGTACGACTCTCAGTTCAAAGGTCCTTCTCGAGTCAAACTGACCTCTCGCCTTTATCTTAGGCGACCCTGTCCCGCGTCGGGAATCGTCCAAAGCAGGCTTCCCTGCAGAAGCCATTGTATGTCTTTATCCAATTTGGCGGAGATCAGCGCAAAGGGATCTCCATGGAATCATAACATGAGAAAATTGGACAATAGAATATATCGAGAGGAGACCGCATTCCTCTATGCCAAGATAGAAATATTTCGACCGCGATGAATCTCCTTGAACGTCGAGGGGAATTACGCCAAGGCAAGTTCGTGAGAAGCAGAGGGCAGACTGTCGGTGCGGAATTCTCCACCCAAACAGATCACAGACTATACAACCGAGCAATATTAGGCAATGGCCCACTATGCAAAGACGATAGGCATCGAGACAAAATCGCACCCTGGATGGCCGTGTAAAGGCACAGGCCGTTAAGGTAACTTGGAGGTAGAAAGCGCCCGCGGGGAGAGGGGAGACTTGATTAGTACTCGACAAGTCGGCCTCTCGTCATGGCGGTGCACGGACCAACAATCGCTTGAAGCGCGCGTCTCTGGCGCCAAGCTCCCGGACCCGGCGATGACGGAGCGTCCAAGAGGACAGCTAGCCACCACTTGGGTAAAAAGGATTTCCTTTCAACTGACTGCTCTTAGCTACCAATATCGAAATTTGGGCTTCAATTTGCTCAATTTGCCAGAGGCCTATTGCTCGATAACTTGGGGAGCTCGTGCAACATTGCGGTCGCCCGCCATTTGAATCACCGTGATAGCAAACGACTGCCACTACTTCCCTGGGAGAACATTCATATTACTTAGTCATTGTATGGATCACGACTCTCATTAACTATGTCCTCTTCAGGGCTGGATGTCTCGCAGCTATCTGACAGCGAAAAGTCTGCTCTCGAGACCTATATCGCCGTGACAAGCCAAGAACCATCTGAAGCTATTCCTTTGTTACGCCGATCCCAATGGAACGTCCAGGTACGTCCTAAGCGTGGAGGTATCGGAAACGGAACAGTGGTGCTGATCAATCTCTGCAAAAGATTGCAATCTCCAAATTCTTCGATGGGGAAGGACCTGACCCCGTTGAAGAAGCTCGCGCTGCTTTGAACAATCCGCCTCCGCCCCGGCCTACCCGTCAAACCCGAAATCTCATGAACGATGACCTGAACGCGCAATTCTCCCCGGCCGCTCGAGCTTCAGAACCTGCTCCTCGGATCGTCACTCAATCGGAGGACCACTCTGTTTACCGACCGCCTTTCTTGCTGGCGCTATTATTTACTCCATTCAACATCATATATAGATTACTTTGCACCTCATTCCGCCTATTCAGCAGCTTATTTCCGTTCCTGCCTCGCCTACTTAATACCACCGCCAACCCAGCTCTGCAGGGTGCTCGACGCCATAACTATGGACGTCGGCCTCTTGGACCTCAGGATACAGCTGCCAGGTTCATCCGGGAGTTTGAGGAGGAATACGGGTCTAATGCTGTGGGATTTCTGGAAAATGGTTACAATATGGCGCTGGAAAAAGCCCACCGGGACTTGAAGTTCCTCCTAGTGGTTCTTCTTTCTTCCGAACATGATGATACGAACGCGTGGGTCCGAGACACACTACTCTCGCGGGAAGTCATCGAGTTCATCAAAGACTCGCAGAATGAAGTGATTGTCTGGGGAGGCAATGTCCAAGATTCTGAGGCATATCAAGTCTCGAACTCCCTCCGGTGCACGAAGTTCCCTTTTGCGGCTGTTATTGTTCACACTCCCAATGTGTCTTCAACTGCCATGTCCGTCGTGTGTAGGATCTCTGGAACAACATCGCCATCAGAGTTTGTGGAGAAGCTCCGAGCAGCAATTTCACAGAACAAAGAAGCTCTTGAACGAATCCGGGCCTCGCGAGCAGAGCAACAGGCTTCGCGCACAATTCGGGAGCAGCAGGATTCGGCCTACGAGCGATCACTGGCTATCGACCGCGAGCGTGCCAGGCAGAGGCGGGAAGCTGAAGCAGCTCGGCAGCGGGCAGAGCAAGAGGCGGCCGAGCGGCAAGCGGCTGAGGAGAAACGTCTCCACGACATTGCGCAATGGAAGAGATGGCGAGCAGCGTCTATTCAAGACGAGCCTGGGCCCGAGGTTAAGGACGCCATCCGCATCAGTATCCGGCTGCCTTCGGGCGAACGTGTCATTCGCAAATTCGCTCCTGAGGCCGGCATTGAAGAGCTCTACGCTTTTGTCGAGTGCTACGAGGTTCTGCAAGATGCGCAGGGGAAGCCTTCCGGAGTGGATAAGCCCGCCGGGTTCGAACATCAATACGAATTCCGACTCGTCTCGCCTATGCCGCGGACGGTGTATGAAGTCGAAGCTGGAGGGTTGATTCGGGACAAGATCGGTCGCGGTGGGAATCTCCTTGTGGAACCAATTGATGACAGCGACGAGGAAGAGCAGGAAGCACCCTAGGCACGTTGGAGGTCTACTGTTGACGTACATGGCAATGATAATGACATTATGGTAGACAGGTGCACTGCCCTAGCGGGTGTCGTATTGGTTCCATGATGATAAAAACGATATTCATATCTACCTTATCCTTGCCATGACAGTCTGATATCTTAAGCTTTGCTCATACATATCGATTCAGTGTCATGTCCACACTCTATCATGCAAGGCACGCCACGTGCTTGACTGGAATGTTGCACCTGAGCATAAACTGAATCGACACCACCACAACATAAACCCAGTAAGCCATAGCCTTTAAAGTTGGACGAAAACTATGCTCGTTGCGCCTCTGCAAAGTTGTAACTCGTATTCAAGTGCACGGAACCCTGCACGAACGCCATCCCGAACGCCAACGGGTTACCGGATCGACGCGGGCGTCATAGATGACAGATGTATCTAGATCGTCTTGTCTCAAGTTCTCATCTGCATGGAAGTAACCCTGTAGGGGCTACTGCGTCACAACGTCACACTATGGGATGATCGTTTTATAGTATCGATTTGAGTTTATGATCCATAGGTAACTCTATTTATGTAGATTTTACAGGCTGCGGCACCGCCCGGGAGAAGATCCAACACGCAAGTCTGAGGTATTATTTAAACCTATCAACCTTGGGTATGCAGATATGGCAGGGTCATCCTGGCTGTTTATGCTTTGAGCACTCCGTATACATGATTTCATTCAACATGGTTTCGCAGGAGCACCGCTCCGTAGATACACAGGATTAATCCTTCGCGGTGATCACAGACACGTCGCGCAACTGGAAGTTGGAAGTCTCTAGGTGACTTCTGCATGAGGATCCGAGTCACGATTAATCATACTTGATAAGAATTTCAAGTCTCGAGGCGATGTTTCAGGAGATATCGAGATTTATCTCCGAAGGTCAGCGCGTCTTTATTCCTGCATAGCTGACTTAACCTCTGTAAAATTATGCAATAATGCAGTATCAGCTCGGAGGTGACCAGATCCGAAACAAAAGGACTGGAAGCAGGCGAGGCCGGGCTTCGGATCACCAGCATCCCGCCCCACTTGGGTCTTCGACGCCCCTTTCTGGACAGCATTTCTCTCTTGATAGCGGAGTTTTTGCCACGTTTTTCTTATATCCCCGAGGGTTAGTATTCTTAGGTGTCATATTGGAGTTGTTGTCATCTTGTGCAGAGGGACTGATCTATAGATATGTCTTCCATGGTCTGGTCTATTGTAGTGTGCATTACAGTATTTGATTTTCATAATATTCAACCTGGAGGCATATCATTCGTAAGGTACCTAGTGGATGTACAGAGTACTCCGTAAATAAACGTCTGCTTGCGTCTCTCCACAGGAAATTGTTGCATGCATGTCATGTCTTGGCATTCATGAATATCATTTAACTCATCATGAATCATCCTGTAGGAAACCTTGTACATCGGCAGAGAACAAACCGAAAGACTGCCACGTATAGCTTAACTTACTAAGAGTATAAACAGTACAAATGTATTAACAGTATCTGTTTACGGCAGTTCCGAAGTTAACCCTGGTACAATTGGCCTGGTACAATTGGTCTCATCACGGCTCAGCCGCAGTTTGATTGTCAGAATGGTAGACATCGAGTCAGGCAGTCAGCGACTCAAGAACGAATCATGAATGCTATATGGATACTCCGTAGGGTCGATTAGGCTACGGAGTACCCTTCGCTTATTGCAAGATCCGTGGTCCGGCCGGTTCCATATGGACATTGTTTTCAAATTTTAACGGAGACAATCGCCCATTTGTTCCCGTTCTTGCGCTGGGCCCGGAGTCATTCTGCATATGCGACCCGATTCGTCAACTCCAAGGAAAGAGAGAGGATCCTACGCCAGTCATTGGTTGATCTGGTAGTCGAGAAAACGGGGAGAACCTGGACCTTAAACTCGCTAGTACTAGTCACCATTCTGGAAGCCCAGACTCTTACCTCATAAAGAAAATGGGGGGGGAAAAGCGTATTCAAATACGATCTAATAAGGGTGACGGCGTCACTTTCAGATCTTACTTTAGATACCCTAGGACCAGGGACGTACTCGGTACTTACGGGTCCATCTTGTTTTAGTTTATTTACCTCTGTGTCTCCATCTCGCCCCCTCATCCATAATTCTGTCAATCTCTCCATCTAATCTATCTTTATATAAAGCACTCGCTCATCCTTTGGCATTGTATAATCTTGTTCCCTTCTGGGGTGGTGCGTTCGAATTTTTATGTGTTTGCCCGTTGTGACGCAATCCCTCCCGAAACGAGACTGAGTCTCACCCAATCAACCATCATGTCTCTTTTAGGGACGATAAACCCTAATTTCAACCCAGAGCGTACAGTCACAGGTCGAGGAGCTCAGGAGGAGGAAGGAGAAATTGCCAGGGTCGAATCCCATCACCACAACAATGCCGCCAGTGTCAGCACTGACGAAACCGCTCTGGAACGGTCAAAGGAGATCGGCGATGAGGATGTCGCAGCGGAAGAAGTCACCCGCCTGGCACGCCAATTGACCCGTCAATCGACCAGATTTTCAACAAGCGGCAATGTCGAGAATCCATTTCTCGAAACCAAGGAGGATTCGACGCTGAATCCTCACAGCCCCAATTTCAAAGCTAAGAACTGGATGAAGAACCTGCTCGCGCTTTCATCCCGGGATCCTGAAAGGTATCCCAAGCGTGTGGCGGGCGTTTCTTTCAAAAATCTCAGCGTCCATGGTTATGGTAGTCCGACCGATTATCAGAAGGATGTGTTCAACTCGGTGTTGGAAGTTGGCACCCTTGTCCGCAAGGTCATGGGTACCGGCAAGCAGAAAATCCAAATCCTGCGTGATTTTGATGGTCTTGTCAAGAACGGTGAAATGCTGGTCGTTCTGGGCCGTCCTGGAAGTGGATGCTCGACTTTTCTCAAGACCATCTCCGGCGAAATGAACGGTATCTACATGGATGAGAAGTCGTACTTGAACTACCAGGGTATCTCGTCCAAGCAGATGCGCAAGCAGTTCCGTGGTGAGGCTATCTACACTGCCGAAACTGACGTGCATTTCCCACAACTGTCCGTGGGTGACACTTTGAAATTCGCTGCGCTTGCTCGTGCTCCTCGGAATCGTCTGCCCGGGGTCTCCAGAGAACAGTATGCCGTGCACATGCGCGACGTTGTGATGGCCATGCTTGGCCTGACACACACCATGAACACAAGGGTCGGCAACGATTTCGTCCGCGGTGTCAGTGGTGGCGAGCGTAAGCGTGTCAGTATCGCTGAGGCAACCCTCAGCGGAAGCCCTCTGCAGTGCTGGGATAACAGTACCCGTGGTCTGGACAGTGCGAATGCACTCGAATTCTGCAAGACTTTGAACCTGATGACCAAGTACGCCGGCGCTACCGTTGCTGTGGCTATTTACCAAGCCTCCCAGAGTGCTTACGATGTAAGTAGTATATCTCTACCCATGTCCGCTGCTCAAGCGCTAATTCGATTTCTAGGTATTTGACAAAGTGACTGTTCTGTACGAAGGAAGACAGATCTACTTTGGACGCACCGACGAAGCCAAGGAATTCTTCACCAACATGGGATTTGATTGTCCGGAACGTCAGACAACCGCTGATTTCTTGACTTCCCTCACCAGTCCTTCCGAGCGTGTGGTGAAGCCCGGGTTTGAGGGCAAAGTCCCACAGACCCCTGACGAATTCGTAACGGCCTGGAAGAGCAGTGAAGCTTACGCCAAGTTGATGAGGGAAATCGACGAGTACGATCGGGAGTTCCCAATTGGTGGTGCGTCGCTCGAAAAGTTCATCGAGTCTCGCCGAGCAATGCAGGCGAAAAACCAGTAAGTCAGAAGCATCCTCAACTCAGGTGTCATGTGCTGAACTCTCCGCAGGCGAGTCAAATCCCCCTACACCATTTCCGTATGGCAGCAAATCCAGCTGTGCATGATCCGTGGCTTCCAACGGCTTAAGGGTGATTCCAGTTTGACCGTGTCCCAGCTGGTTGGTAACTTCATTATGGCCTTGGTTATTGGAAGTGTTTTCTACAACCTGCCGGACGACACGAGCAGTTTCTACGCTCGTGGTGCTTTGCTCTTCTTTGCCGTGCTGCTTAACGCCTTCTCCAGTGCTCTCGAGGTGAGTCAAGTTGGCTAGTGTGGTGCTATCACAACAAGCTGATTGTCTCCAGATTTTGACACTATACGCCCAACGTCCCATTGTTGAGAAACAATCTCGCTACGCAATGTATCACCCCTTCGCTGAAGCTATCGCCTCAATGCTCTGCGACATGCCTTATAAGATCGCCAACGCCATCATCTTCAACCTTACACTCTACTTCATGACAAATCTTCGCCGCGAACCGGGCGCTTTTTTTGTTTTCTTACTCTTCTCTTTCGTCACCACGTTAACCATGTCCATGCTCTTCCGTACGATGGCTGCTTCGTCCCGGACCCTGTCCCAGGCCCTTGTGCCCGCCGCTATCCTCATTTTGGGTCTGGTCATCTATACCGGCTTCACGATTCCGACACGGAATATGCTTGGCTGGTCGCGGTGGATGAACTATATCGATCCCATCGCATACGGATTTGAGAGTTTAATGGTTAACGAATTCCACAACCGGCAGTTCTTGTGTCCAGACTCTGCATTCGTCCCGTCAGGCGGCGCATACAACAACGAGCCCTTGGCGAATCGGATCTGCTCGACAGTCGGTTCAGTTTCCGGCTCTCGCTACGTCCAAGGCGACGACTACCTCCACCAAAGCTTCCAGTACTATAAGAGCCACGAGTGGAGGAACCTGGGTATTATGTTTGGGTTCATGTTTTTCTTCATGTTCACCTACTTGACTGCGACCGAGTACATCTCGGAATCGAAGTCGAAGGGTGAAGTACTACTGTTCCGACGGGGCCACGCAAAGCCCACCGGTTCCCATGACGTCGAGAAGAGCCCTGAGGTGTCTTCTGCTGCGAAGACGGACGAGTCCAGTGGCAAACAGGCTACCGGGG